CCTTTGATGTTTTCTCTAGATCCCCTAGCGAAAGAAAACGGAATGTGTTGGGCCGGGGATGAAGCTCAGTGGCACAGCGCCTGCCTGGCAAGCGCGAGGTCCTGAGTTCGATTCCCGCTACCGAAAGAAAGTAGGAAAGGGGGGTGTGGCGGAAGGAGCTTCCAGTCCCAGCAGACCGAAGAAGGCTACTGTCCAGAGTGAGGATGCGTTTAGATTGCCTCGGCCCTTCCTGGCAGTGAATGTTGTCCATCTGCCCCAGGGTCTCGCCCTCCTCGAGGCAGCAGGAGAGAGCCACGGGCCATACTCTTACAGGAGTGCTTAGCCTGGAGGCCAGGAGCGCCCTGAAAATGAACGCAAGAGTTAGTTTCTTCGAATTATTGTGGCCCCGAAACTGTTAACAAAAACACTGTCCAAGCCCGCTTTCGATGCCCGCGCCCGCTTCCTGAATCTCCGACTGGAAAGAGCTTTGCCCCGCCCCCACGAAGAAGTCTTTCAGGAATTTGAGATACGCGAGAGAGTGTGTGTGTGTTTATACACACACCAGAGAGTTATGGTTGGCATTTACATACACGTAGGTGTTGGGGATTGAACCCACAACCTGTAAATGCTAAGCATATGTTCTGCCACCGAGCTGTATCCTCAGATCTGTGTATATTTTAAATAGATACAGCCGGGCGTGGTGGCTCAGGCCCGTAATTCCAGTACTTGGGAGGTTGAGGCAGGAGGATCGCTGTGAGTTCGAGGCCGTCCTCAGCTACAAAGTGAGTTCAAGGACTGCCTAAAGTGCATAGTGAAACCCTGTCTCAAAAAGACAAATAAATAAATAAATACAAATGGCTACTGATTAGCAAAAAGAAATGAGTGCAATTTATAATATGTCATAGAATATATAGTTAACCCTATCACAAAAAGCAACATTTTTGTATGTTGTAAAATGACAAATAATTTTTAGATTTTCCCATAGTAGTCATCATATGCATGACATGCTTACCACTTACTGCAAGTTTTGAATTCATTAGAATTTAATGTAATACGCTTTAAATTAGTTCGGCAACTATTGAAGACCTAACCTGTGGAGGTACTGTGGAAAGAAAATCTTTACTATTAAGGAACTTGTATTTTAGTAAGAATATGGGTTCCTAAGCAGTTACAACTAAAGAGCTGCTACTACATATTATATTTTCTCTACAGTTTATTTTATATTATTTATTTTTTTTATGATTTTTTTGAGACAGTCTCTCTGTATAGTTCAGGATGGCCTCAAACCCATACGTATCCTCTTGCCTCAGCCTCCCAAGTGCGAACACTGTAGGTGTGAGCTACTATGCCCAGCTCTCTCTACAGTTTTTGGTATGTATTTTTTCACAGAAATGAACCATCTTACTGGTTATAACTTTAAATGTTCCCTAACTAGCATCTAGTATAGTCAAAATTTTTTATCATAGTTGAGTTCAAGTACATTGCATTACAGTATTTTGTTCTGTCATCCTGGAACTCAGCCATATTGTGCTTTAAACATATTTACCCAAATCTGTTTCTCAGCTGTCATGAATTGCCAGCTTTTAACATTCTAAATTCATTTTTAAACCAAGCACAGTGGCACACATCTGTAATCCCATCACTCACGAAGCAGAGACTGGAGGATTGCTATGAGTTCAAGGCCAGACTGAGCTACATAGCAAGACTCGGTCCCAAAAAACAAACCAAAAAATTTCATTTTAAATTTGCTTGTTTTCCTAAAACTGAAAGTGTTTGTTGGTGTGAACTTTGGTTTCTTCTTCTGATTTTAAGTAGATGACTCCATAACAGTTACACTTTTGCTTTCTCCTTATTTTAGAATATTACCTCAAATATTTCCTGTTTTTCTCTGAAAACATTTGAAAATCTTTTACAGATGCCTTATCATTAAGATAGGAATATTTTTTCCAACTTTTCCCTCTCATTTCACAGGTAACCATCACTTCCGTACCTTTTAGTCACTCAACCAACCAATATTTGCTAGTTACTTATATTTACACGAACAAAAAAGTAGAGAACAAAGATCTTCCCTTCCAGTTGATTATAGTTTAGATGAAGGAACATAATGTACATAACTGTACTGCAAGGCAAACATAATGAATAACAAATAACAAAAATTCAGAAGAGGAAAAGAGTGTTTTATGGTTATCTTCAGTCTTCAAAAAAGTCCCATTCCCTAGCTAGTCTTGTGAAGCACTCAGAGCTTCATGGACGTCTTGGTATCACACTTTGCAGAGAAATGTTCTGCTGTCCTAGAGCATTTGCATCCAGGTTTACTCAACCTCTAGAAACTCGTATGAACTCGTTTCTGATGATTACAGAAATGGAGTTAATCGCTGATCTCCGTGATGCCTGCTTTTAATATGGGGAAGGCCTCAGAGAATGCCTGGGCCTAAGGACAGATGTGCTCAGTGAGATGGTGTGTGCCTAACACTTCTTTGTTTCAGGCAGTTTGGAGCATGTGAATACACCCTGAGCCTTGATGAGCTCCAGTATGTGGTATATTATGCAGAGCATTCAGAGCAAATACTCTCTCTCAGAGCGCCTGATCCGAACAATCGCTGCCATCCGTTCCTTCCCTCATGATAACGTAGAGGACCTCATCAGAGGGGTGAGTGTGCTGTGTCCCTGAAGAGGGGAAATGGGAAAATCGCTGGGAAATCCTCACAGATACAGATTTGCACCTCCAACTGAGCCTAAGATCACAGTCTTAACAGTCTTCTTAAATACGTTAACTTGGCCACGAAAATATATTTTCCCCCACATTTTACTTTGCTTGCTTTCTCCCCTTCACTCTGTGTATCTGATAGTTTTCTTCATGACATATGTCTTCGTTCTTTGTGAAATCGCTCTCTGGATGCAGTGCGTATGGAAGCATCAGGCTCAAAGCTTTCCGTCCACGTCTCACTAAGGGTGGTAGAAGGCGGCAAAGCAGAGGTGTCTGTGAGAGCCTTGCGACCTTTTCTCCGTACCGGGGTGTGACAGCTGCGTGGAGAGGGCTCACTTTCCTTCTGTCTCACAACTGCCTGTGCTCTGATAGAGAACGCCCACCCTAGCAGGTGGTACTCGGAGACGAGGACAGCACTTTGGTATTTTGCCACCCCTGGCCAGTAGTTCTGTGACAGGACTAGTGTCCTGGAAGGTCTTTGATACCCTGTTCTGTTATTCCTGTCAAAGAGAACTTACAGAGATTTTTTTTCCACTAGAAAATGTAGCCATCTTTAGGGACTTTAGGGCTCTAGTTCACACTGCCGAGCTCTGTGGCCGCCTCAGAGTCCCGGGGCACAGCTTCAGGAGGAGGGCATACAGCGTGAGCTTGTTCTCGGCAAAAGTGGGGTCAGAAGATTGAGCAGTAGCAGCTTTGTCACGTTCTAATTCTAGCCCTGCTGCTGAGTCATTTGGTGACTTTGGTCTGACGGATATCTCCATCTCCTTCATATTAGGAATGCAAGCGCCTGATTTGGAATAGGGGGCAGAGACTAGTAGATGACCTTGGTGATGTTTATAAACACAAATAATGTTAAGATCTCCCTCCTGCTAGGGCCCGTCCGTCACTTGTTGAACGGCAGAAAGAGCATGCGTGCCAGTGCTGACATTCTGAGACTCATGACTTTTTCAGCACATGGTGGCCGCAGAAAGTAGATCACTGGTCCAGCTTTCCTGCCTGGTGATGAGGTTCTCATGGCTTTTACACGTAAGGTTATGTCCTCAGTGATGTACAGGTGACCGTCTTGGCAGGCTAATTTGTAGAGAAATTTAGCAACTCGGTCTACGGAACTGACGGCTCCTTTCCTTCCTCTTCCGTGTATTCCTCTGCTTTAGACAGTGGCATTACAATGTTATCTAATTAATAAAAATGGAAACCAGGAAACAGTAGTACGTTTTCAGCCTAGGCAGGGTTAGGACTCTTCCCTCAGATCTGAGTCTGTCTTGCTGGATGAGCCGAGCTGAGCGCACTGACGAAGTTTCCTCCTTGCTGTAGGGAGCAGATGTGAACTGCACCCATGGCACCCTGAAGCCCCTGCACTGTGCCTGTATGGTGTCAGATGCTGACTGTGTGGAGTTACTCTTGGAGAAAGGAGCCGAGGTAAGGTTCTCCACACTGTGACACTAACAACTCACGGAAATCTGAGCTTCATATTGTCGGAGAATTCCTCTTTGTACTTCCAATCTGACCTTCTAACCCATGTTAACACTGGCATAGCTTTGCCAGGTGTGCTGGCACATGCCTGTAGTCCCAGCACTCAGGAAGCTAAGTCAGGAGGATCACTGCAAGTCTGAGGCCAGCCTGGGCTTCACAGTAAGTTCAAGGGCAGACTGGACTACATAGCAAGACACTGTCTCAAAACAACAGTGCTGGGCGTGGTGGTGCACGCCTGGAATCCCAGCACTTGGGAGGCTGAGGCGGGAGGATCATTGCGAGTTCAAGGCCAGCCTGGGCTACAGTGAGCTCACAGCCAGCCTGAACTGCATCGTGAGACCCTGTCTCAAAAAGACAAAAAAAAAAAAAAAAAAAAAAAAAAACACAAAGAATGACATAGCTGATATTAAAGGGAAAGTGTAATGGTAAATCTCTAAAATAATCCTAAGGATTTCATTCTTTTTTTCTTTTGTTTATTCTGTCCGTGGCTCTAAGAAGGCTTTATGTGTCCCTTCTCTTGCCTCCCAGCTTACCTCCTGGGGCTGTTTCTCTTCCCATTCCATCCTCTCCTTGCGTGTTGATTGTCCAGGAGCTGTCAGTGCAGAAGGCCCTCAACTCGGATTAAATCTAAACCATTTGAAACCTACTGTCACACAGGTGCACTTGGGGAGAATTATCTTAAGGCAACCCCTTCTTCAGGATTGGGCTATTTATGCCCACTACTTATTTTGTTTTAATGTATCTTTTTGGCTTACCTTCATCTATTTTAAGATAAATACCAAAAATTAAATTTTAGAAGTAGACACAAAGCAGCCTAATCTAATGAATAATTAAGCAGCAGACTCTGCAGTCATATTTCATGGAATTCATAGTCCATTTCTGTCCCTTCCAGCTGTGTGACCTTGAACACATGCCTTTACCCTTCTTTGCCTCAGCTTTCCCATCTATCAGAAAAAGGACGATAATGATACCTTTTTCAGAGGTTATAAAGTATTTGGGACACAGTGTGCAGTAATTGCTCAGTGAATGTGTATTAAGTGAATAAACTAGCAGTTTGGAGTATTTGTGAGCAGCCTTGACGATGTATGTGTTAAGGCCCTAACTGACTCCAACCGTGAAGCCAGTGTACAGTCCCCACGCCGGGGCCAGTGAGCCGGGACCAGGCCCTGCCCCGCTCCTCTCCGCAGCCGTGCTGCTCTTTCCTTGTCACTGACCATCCCGTGATGTCGGTGCTGAGCGGCCCTGGAGCGATTCAAGTCCGTGACCCAAGTGAAAATGTGGGGGCAGTTGGGGGGGAGTTAGCCAAATATGTTTCATTTTTGCTGCATTGCGCCTTATGGGAGAAGGTACTATGCTGCTATAAACTTGGGGGTCTGAAATGGAAAGCTAGAGGGAACCCTGCCTTAGGCACGCTGGCCGCTTTTCCGTGTTGGAAGATCCGTGCTCCCCCGTCCACATGCCTTGTGCTGGGTTCTCTTGTCAACCCACAGCGCATCTTTGCAAAGGGTTGACTGAACATTTTAGGCCTGGGTAAAGGACGTAGCAGAAGTGCATGGGCAGAGCTGCGGCCTCGTTGTTTTCATTTTGGTTGCCCTTAGGAGCAGGATGCGAAGTCGGGAAAGATAAAGTAAAGCAGGAAGCTCTTTAACTATTCAAGCAGCTCCCTGCTGACTTTCAGAGCGGCTTCAAAGCCTTGGCTTGGTCTTTTCCTGCTTGACCGCTTACGCTGGTGGAGATTCTAGTGAAAAGGGAAGTGAGTGACACAGGACAGCACCCCGAGTCGCACAGACCCGCTGGCCAGGGCACATGGTGCTCGTGTTGCGGGGCAGAGCTTCTCCACCTGCCCTTAGCTCCTGTCATGTCTGTATCTTGATCAAGATTCCCTGGGAACTGCTTTCGGTCTGTCTTGCCCCGGAGCACGGCATAGCAAGCGTTCCTTGTTGCGCTCCTTTTTTCTTCCGGTAATTTTATCTACTGTTAATCAGGTTCCTCCGTTCTTCCAGGTGAACGCCCTGGATGGCTACAACCGCACAGCCCTCCACTATGCAGCAGAGAAAGACGAGGCTTGTGTGGAGGTGCTGCTGGAGTACGGCGCAAACCCCAACGCACTGGATGGCAACAGAGACACCCCGCTTCACTGGGCCGCCTTCAAGAACAATGCGGAGTGCGTGCGGGCTCTCCTCGAGAGCGGGGCCTCCGTCAATGCCCTGGATTACAACAACGATACGCCACTCAGCTGGGCTGCCATGAAGGGAAATCTGGAGAGCGTCAGCGTGCTCCTCGACTATGGCGCCGAGGTCAGAGTCATCAACCTAAAAGGCCAAACGCCCATCTCCCGCCTGGTGGCTCTGCTAGTCAGGGGACTCGGAACCGAGAAAGAGGACTCCTGCTTTGAGCTTCTCCACAGGGCCGTCGGACACTTTGAATTAAGGAAAAATGGCACCATGCCACGAGAGGTGGCCAAAGACCAGCAGCTGTGCGAAAAACTGACGGTGCTGTGCTCAGCCCCAGGGACTCTCAAGACTCTGGCCCGCTATGCCGTGCGCCGTAGCCTGGGGCTCCAGTACCTGCCAGACGCGGTGAAGGGCCTTCCGCTGCCAGCCTCTTTGAAGGAGTATCTGTTACTTATGGAGTAGCCCGGAGAGACACTTGCAGCAGCACCTCGGCCGTTCTGGGTGAGGTTTGCCCCGCAGCACCTGTTTGCATGGACGGTAGAAGAGCGTTGGCTCCAGTAGTGTGGTTCGTAACCTTCAAGGCGCTATGTCACAGTGGTAACCTTCACTACCTCCCCTCCCATACCAAGCACCCAGACCAAAAACCCCTCACTGCTGTGCTCTGTATTGCTTACGTGGCTTTTTTTTAATGTTGCGCTCTGCAAAAGAAGAGGTCTCCCCTCCACCACCCCTTTAGGGAAAGAGTCAAGAGTGCAACTGAATTCTCTAGGCAAATGAGATGTGTCTAAAGAACGTGTGTGGGTTTCCTGGGTGGTGGGGGGCATGATTTCACACTTCCAGGGAACCCTTTCTAAGCTTTTTAATCGTCGTGTGAGGAGGAAAATCACAGTTCCAGCTAACAATAAGTGTGTCCCAAGGATGAAGTTACTCCAGCTCGTGTTGGTGTTCAGATTCAAAACTGGGCCTTCAGAAAGGGCTGGGGTTGTTCAGCAGTGCTGTTTCACAGGGGTGTCCTGCTGCGGGTGCTAAGCAGTCCTGAGAACCGAAAGTCCTGAGCCGCTCTAAAATGGTTTTTTGGTTTTTTGTTCTGGAAAGCCGGTTTGCAGACATGTCTGCCCCTCAGTCAGTCAAGGGAGGAGAGGCTGGGCTGCCTTTTGCCGTGGGTCTTCCTCCTTCCCTGTGGAAAACTCCCTCTGCTGGGAGATTGGAGCTGTTCTTTCCACGCTCTTGGAAACTTGGATTTTGCATCGAAGGCGCTGTGGGGGCGGGGGCGGGGGGCTGGGAAGGGAATGGGCAAAGAACATGAAAGCGTCTCGAGGTGGCCCACCACCATCTGCGGTAGTGAGTAATACGCAACAGCACTCTTCACTTTCCTAACCTAGATCACGTTGTTACTGATCTGAGATGACCTATATGCAAATTTGAACTTTTTTTAAAAAGCTGTTTGGGAACTACGAACAAAATGAATGGGATCTGCTGCTAATTGAAAACTGTGTCTGCTTTTGTCTTTTGCCCAGTAAAAAAAAAAAAAAAGAAATTCTAAAAAGAAGTTTGGCAGTTTCTGCTGTTCCTGCTTTTCTCCATTCTCCCCTCCTGCTGTTTATAAAAAGTTCTTTATTCCCTGGCCTTTGAGCATATCTTTTCATTTCAGTTTCTCTGCCATCCGCAACAGTGATTCTCGGCACGGCCAGCATGACAGAAAAGCTTGGACAGAGTATTTGAAAAACCTCCTCTTCTTTGACACCTCCTGCCACCCCCAAACGTGGAGTTATTGCTCTTGTTTTCAACCCCAGCTGCACATAAGGCCACCAGTGAAGTTTTTTAAAAACACTTGCCACGATTTCACCACATACCGATTGTTTAGAATTTCCTGGGTGGGACTGGATTATTAAGTGTCTTCAGATGTTTCTCGTGTGTAGCCAGAAATGAGATCCGCTGCTTTAGGCAGAGATGTTCCAGCTTCAGTATTAAAGCCACCTAGGGAAATATTTTCTGTTTGGTTTTTTTTGTTTTTCTTCCGGTATCAGGAATCGAACTCACAACCTTGCGCTTGCCAGACAGGCACTGTGCCGCTGAGCTAAATCCCCAGCCCCTAGGGAAATATTTTAAATACTGTACTAAGATGTGGGCTTCACCCCCAGACATTCATAGAATTGGTCCAAAGTAGGCCTGAGCATCAGTATTTTAAAAGGTAACCCAGATGACTCTACTTTTAGTCTGGGTTTGTGAAGCACTGCTGTAGATGCAGGTTCATTTCTCATTGTAGACACTGGTTGTAGCCCGAAAGGGAGAATATTTTGTCCATTGGGAAAAGATTTTACCTTTTTCCTGTTACTTCATAATCACGCATTGATGGCTAATAAATGGTGTGCTTCAACCCCACTTAAAAGTCTCACCTTTCTCATTTGCTCTGGGGAATGGTGTGTACTTAACTGGGTTTTGTTTCTAAGTGGTCTTCACTATTTTTTCCCTTCAGATCATATTATGATCCTAAATCTTTTTTACCATTTATGCAGTGACATTTTTCTTCTGTGATTTGCTTTCACCTAGCTATTCATTCCCTCATCAGTTTCTCAAGGAAACTGCTCTAGATTTAAAGACAGGAAAGAGAATCTATAAATTAATGGCAGTTAGCACTTAAATGCTTGAAGTCCGGTATGGTGGTACACACACCTACAATCCCAGTACTCTGGGAGGCTGAGGCAATGAGGATCTTAAATTTGAGCCCATCTTGGACAATTTAGTGACTTTGCAAGCCCTGTCTCCGAAGTTTTAAGAAGGGCTGAGAGAGCGAGCTGTGTAAAAGCCCTGGGCTCAATCCTCCGCACCATAAATAAGTAAAATGCCTGAGCTGTCCCTTTATCCTCAGCCTTTATGGTTTTTTGGACTTGAGGAAGCATGGTAGGGATGGGCTTTGAAATCAGAACTGTGTGATTCCCAATTTTATTAGACTATGAGAGCTGGGAGACTTCACCTCATCACCCTAAGCCCGTGTGCTTGTCTCTGAAGTGTCACCACGCCCCATAAACTATTTTTAGGATTCAATGATAACATGTAAAATGCCTAACAAAGCACTTGATGTTTACTGTGAATTTCTCTTTCCCCATGAAGAACTGTAAAGAGAATTCGGCTGCTTTAGTTTCAGACCCTAGCAACAAGCCTCCGACTACTAAGAATTGCTTTAGTGGTTTAACACCTTCAATGTTTTTCCTGCTTCATCAGGCAAGAGAGGAAATTTGGGAGGAACGTGCATGCCTGTACTGACAGCCAGTCTGGTTACTGGAACCCTGGCATTAGGACAGGGCAGCCTCCTGTCAGCCTAGGGTACGGTCTGTAGCTCCAATCCTGAAGACCAACTCCTTCCATGGGCACCTCAGTATGAGGAGGAGGAGGCTGCCGGTATGGACCAGCAGACCGAGTACTGCTGAGTCCGATGAGATCTTTCCAGCCAGCACACTAAGCCAGGTCCCAGTTGCTTATATTTTCCAGTATTTCAAAACGTACACGTTTCCTATGAAGGTTCTGCCAGAGACCGGAGAGTCTGGCTTTCTCCTAGGAAGGAGTATAGGGGGAAAGTTGAGAAGAAAAAACTCGTGGCAGCGGGGTGTTAAAAGAGCAGCAATGGTGGGGTGGCTGGAAAAACACAACCCTGGGCAATGGGTGTAGGAGAACAGGGGCCACATTATCCTTCGGGGAGAGAGGAGGGTCCTCTTGGCTGCAGGGGTGCAGGAAGGGCTGGGGAGGGACGGGGGCGAGGGCTGGTATCCCGTGTCCTGAGACACTCTGTGTACAGCCAGGAGATACTACAGAGAAACAGTCCAAGGAGTTCTGCGCGGGGAGGTGTGGTACCAAGGGCAACAGGGTTACGTTCTACTTGAGAAGATAACAGCAGAACCAAAAGCACAGTGACCAGTTGGCCTTTATTAGTATAGTTACAGTTTGTCCTTGTGGTGAAAGTAGTAGAGGAACTGAGACTCTCTGTTATCACAAAGAAATAAATAAAGCTTATTTTTAGGAAAATTCTGAGCAGCTGACATCTACCTAGCAGTAGCAGAGAGGAACACAGCCCGTGTAACAGATGAAGCTGGGGAGGAAGTGATGGTAACTATCTAGGAGACTCCATTCCCCGCCCCTTCCCCCAGCTCCTGGCCAGAACTGATCATGGTGGCAGGATCAAAGGAAACCTAATGAAAAAAGAGCTAAAACGCTAAGAAAATGTGCACTTAGATCTAGCAGGGTGAGCTGGCCGTGATCAACCTGTTCCCCTCACTCCGAGGAGGTCTAGACGGTAGCTTCCCCAGACCTCTTCCGACTGATGTGCTCCAGGTGGGCGTGTTCCGAAGTGTCCAGGTCGATTTCGTACTTGGCTAGGATTTTGAGGATGGGCCTCAGCTTCAGCCACCACTGTTCCTTGGGAATTCGGTGCCTACGAAGAAATGAGGCAGATGAGCACCCCCTTCAACCTCTACCAAAGACTCCTGGGAAGAAACTGGGCAGAGGACGCTGGATTTAGGTCGTGGTCCTCAGACCTGAAGTGGGCGGGTGGACAGGTGTCAGTCCTGAAAGCAAAGCAGTGAAGACAGAAGAGAACAGAGCTTCAACTACGAGGGAGAGGGCCGTCCTAGACAGCAGACAGAAGCACTCACTCGAAATCTGTCTGCTCCTTCAGCTCAGCCACCGGCTGGAAGACCAGGGCCCGCTTCCGCATCCCCAGGACACAGCCTGAGTCTGGGGTATTGGCAAAGATCCGCCCTGCAATAAAGGACGGTCAGTCAGCTTCTGTCCTGGGGAGCCAGCCTCTCTGAGGGGGCGCATCCTCTCACCCCACCTACCGTTGCGGTAACTCTCTTTGATTTTCCCAGACATCCAGTTCATAGCCTTAGCCCCCATCTTAGTGGCAAAATTCCTGTCAAAGGGAGTTGGGCTCCCACCCTGGAAGAAGAATCATAAAAATTAGGAAGGCTTACAAGAACCCGAGAGTCTCTGAAAGGGCACCCTACGACAGTAAACTGGCCTCTTACAAGAGTACGAGGAAGGAGTGATTAAACCCACAACTCTCTTTGACCTCCAAAGCTGCCGATTCCATTTCAGTCCCCCGGCCGCCAGGTCAGTTCCTACCCCGCATCGGCCTCGCACCTTCTGTCTGTCACATTAGTGATGCAGAAGGTGTTCTTTGTGGCCCAATCCAGCAGCCCTTGGTAGAGTCTCAGAATAATATGAAACATCACACAGACTTTCTCGGACCTAAGGGGAGTGGGAAAGTGGGAAAGGAGGAAAGCAGGGCTTCGCAACTATCCAGTAATAGCCCACTCCTGCAGGCGCTCCCTGCAAGTTCCTTCAAACTGAGGCGTGCACACTAGGAATTCACTGGTCGGTGCTGAAGGGCACGAGCGGAGGACACTTGGGGCGGCAGGGGCTCAGACCTCAAGTACCACCCGTGAGCGAAGCGACAGAGACTGCTCGTGACAGAAAAGAAGTTCCTTCCCCCGAAATCCCAGTTAGTGGAAAGGGAGCTCAGCCAGCAACCGTCTGGACTCATCCAGCAGGTTCTTCCCGACAGGCCTCGTGCTGGGGTGGAAAACGGACCAGGCCAGGTCCATTCCGGCTACAATCCAAGCTTCAGGAGTGGCCCTGAAAGAACTACTTCCCCTCCCTGGACCTCATGTTCCTTATCTGAATCAGAGGCTCTCAAGTGGAGGAAGCGCTGTCCCTCAGCGGGTATTTGGCAGTATCTGGGGACACGTTTTTGTTAAAACTGGGGAAGGAGAGGAGGGCTACAGGCATCTGGTGCCGAGTCCAGGGAGGCTAAACCGCCCTGCAGTGCACCGGACGGCCACCCACAACAGTGGATCATCCTGCCGCAAGGGCAACAATGCCAGGTCCAGGAGCTCTCCCTACATAAAGGGGATGAGCCACATCATCTCTAGTCATTTCCAGTAATGCTCCGGGTCTGTGACCGTAAGAGACTGCAGGCCCCTGCTTCACCGTGGTGCTGAACCTCCAGCAGACTGGTGGCCAGGAGGAGCCGCTACGGCCGCCGGGGACGCGGCTCTCCGGCGCAGGTGTCTCCCCACCTGCTGCATGTGGCCGAGCACGTTCTTCCTGCTGTCGAAGATGCCTTTGCCCTCCTCGGAGTACAGATTGAAGATGAAGTCGGTAGTGTAGTTCTCATTGCACTTCTCGTTCCTGCCAGGCAGAAACCAGGAGCCCGTGAGTCTGGTCGTCTCCCCGGCCCCTCTTTCCGCCTGATAGGTTCTGTTCCTCCTTTCTCTTGCCTCCTCCCAGGGTTCAGGAAATAGACTGTCACTTCCCTTTGCCTCTATAGATTCCTCAGGGTGCCCCAACTGTGGACCCATTCTGCGGGTTAGGGCCCACACCTTCTTCCTCACTTAGGGACACACTGGGGGTGAGGTACCTTAACACCAAGCCTCTTTTCACCGTTGTTTTCATCTTTTGCACCAGATGGTCAACATTCGCCTGAAAGTGAAAGGGTAAGTCCTAAGTCCAGCTGGGAGTGGATAAGCTTGAGCAACGGCATTAACCCTCTTCTTCCACAGGGGAAGGGACTCAGAAGAGACTGCTGACAGTCTTGGCTTGAGCTGTGCCTAAGTCCTTTAGGAAGTTTCGTATGAGTCAGGCATGGTGGTGCATGCCTGTAATCCTAGAACTCTGAGAAGCTGAGGCAGGAGGATCATAATTTCAAGCCCAGCCTGGGCAACTAGTGACTCAGTGAGACCCTGTCTCAAAATTCTTAAAAAGCGACGGGGATGTAGCTCAGTGCAAAAGCCCTGGGTTCAATCCCCAGTACCTCAAACAGAAGAAAAAGGTTATTTAATGTGGAATAAAAAGGGCCAAAAGACAGAACTTGAAGAGGGACCACAGGAGACAGCCACAGGAAGCACCAGTCTCGAGCCCGCACCTCTCTGACGCCCCCGTCCAGGGGCTTCCAGCTCCCTGCGCTCAGAGCCGACTCCACCCAGGCTGTCAGTCTTGACCTCATGCTTGTTTGTAAAGCAGAGATTCATCCGCACAGAGTATGTTCCTTCAGCGGAGCTCTGAGCTGGGTGAGAATAAGGCAGACCCCCACCCTCCACTCCAGCAGGGGCTGGCTGGGACCCCGGAGGAGGGATGTACCTCAGCCCCTGCCTAACCTCCACTCTGGCTCTCTGCTCCCCCAGGGGGTTGGCATCTGGGGAAGTAAGATCCCATGCCCCCTCCGTGAAATGCAAGCCAGCGTCCTACCAGAGGGGAAAGAGCATCTCCCTCAAAAATGGATGGGGAGGAAGGGAAATCCGGAGGCACAGCACGACGTAATAGGCACTGACTTTCTCAGGCAGCGGAACCACCTGCTCATTTAGGAGTTCACAAACAATTCTAACCTC